TATGAAAATGCTCAAAAATTTAATACAAAATATCAAGATTCATTTAAATTAATTACAAATTACAATTATTCTAAATTAAAAACAATCAGGGTTAAAGGTTAGAGTTAGTGTTAGGATTAAAGCTTAGAGTTAGTGTTAGGGTTATGAGTTTTTATATTATTATCTAAAAATAGAAAATCTTATATAACTATGGTAGAAATAGCAAATTACTATAGTGGAAATAGTAGCTTCCTTTAAATATAGTCTATATTTGAATTGTCAGGTGACACTTAAATAAATCTATTAATTATGTCTAAAGGTTATAGTTGTACAGTTACAACTTTATAAATACACGCTCTATAAATGCATACACTCTCTAATTGAACTCTAATATTTGGTCCCAAGTTGGGACTATATTGTAAATACACACCCTCTATATTCTGCATATATAATGTTTTTTAAAATATTTATTATTAAAATACCCTTTATAAATATACCATTACATGATTTTTATCCAATAGCAAGCAACCTTATTTGACATACAAAAAAAAATTTTACGATAATTTTGCCCAATCAGATTTCAAGATTAGGGTTAATATAAAAGAAGCTCAATTTGTGAGATCAAACTTCTACTTCTGATTTTTCTTGAACACTAGTGTCTAAGAATTAACACCAAGTTGCCTTAAGTAAGGTGGAAGTCATTAAAGTAGAGGGATTAGGTGTTATGGTGAGAAAGGCAAAAGAAGTAAAGTGAGTGACAAGACAATATAATAACCTTAGAGTAGTGTATTTGACATTAACTAACTTGCATTTATTACATACATTACTGTATTTAATTAATTTTTTTCACAGAAAATTGTACTTACAAATATTTTACATATTACAAATTATATATATAACTATAAATAGCTAGTTCATTAAGTAGTTATTCTTTTTAGTAATTAGCCCAACTATATAATTAAGCAGTATTATACATTCTTCTCTTGTGTATGTGTATTGTTATTGATCAAGCAAATTGATATTACGAAGTAAGGTGGCACATAAAATACGTGGAGGATTCTTTTTTTTTTTTTGAAAACTTTTTCATTTTTTTTATTTTTTTTTTTTAATGTTTATTATCAAGCAGTGCTGTATGTTCTTTTCTTGTGTGTGTGCATTGTCATTGATCAAGCAAATTGACATTATGAAGTAAGATAACACATGGAATACGTGGAGAATTCTTTTTTTTTTTTTTTGTAGAAACCTTTTTTTTTTTTTTTTAACATTTATTATCAAGCAGTGCTGTACATTTCTTCTCATATGTGTGTGTATTATCATTGATCAAGCAAATTGATATTACAAAGTAATTATAGAGGTTGGCTATGTGGAGAATTTTTTTTTTTGTAAAAACTTTTTTTTTTTTTTTTTAACATTAATTAGAATCAATAACGGTTTGAGAGTACAAAGCATATAAGAGTAGTTTAGTGATATATAGAAGAGTTTTTTTTAAAAAAAAATTTCTTTTGCTTTGGTTTTTTTTTTAATTTTTTTTTTTTCCTTTTATTTTTATTTAAAAATTGACAAGGTAAGCATTAGAGATAACACTTACAGAATAATGCCTTGTATATTTTTACTATTACTCTAGTAATAGCAATATGAATTGTAATTAACCATAATTGAATACTAATATTATATTACTTTATTTAGACAGTCTTCAATACAATATTAATAATAACAAAAAAAAAGGTTACTTTAATAGACTCACAAAAATATGATTTTTGTGTTTATGCTAGAGACAATAAAGGAACCAGGCCTGAATATATAAAATGGATTGGAAATAAATAGGAGTCAGAGTTAATGAATCTACAATTACTCAGATCTTTCAAGCTAAGGAAAAATGACTTACTGATAAAGTTTTAAACTCTGACATCAAATGACACAAATCTGTTGTAGTACCAGAGCTTGAGCTCACTCTAAAAGAATTTATTTTAATATATCAGTATCGGACTATCTTAAGCAATGCTTTATTAATTGAGAAGGCTAAAATGCTGGCAAATAAACTTGGAGTTCCTGAGGATAAGTTGCAGTTCTCTTCTGAGTGGCTTCAAAAATTCAAGAAAAGAAACAGAATCCGTCAATGAAAGCTTCATAGAGAAGCAGAATTTGTCGACTTGAACATAATTGCCTGATTCTTGCTATTATTAAAAGACCTGTATGCTTGGTACCCTCTCAACCAAATTTATAACATAGATGATATAGGTCTTTTTTACTGGTAAATTTTGGGTTATTATAATTTGAGTATTATAAAATAAAAAAAACAGGAAAATCTTTTAAGATTTCCTTGTCTTTTTCATTTTATGACACTCTTATATAGTGTATATACATTTTTTTATTTTAATAATTAATTTATTGTATTAGATTGGAGCCAGATAAAACTTTAGCAACATGATGCCTTGCAAAGTGTAAAAAAAATAAAGAGTGCTTTTCTATAGCTCTATGTGCCAATGTCGATGGTTTCCACAAACTGAACTCTCTTGTAATTGGCAAATACACCAACCCTGGTGTTTTAAAAATATAAATATTCAGAATTTGGAAATGATATATTAAAATAATGCTAAAGCTTGGATGCTTACAGTTTTATTTCAAGAGTGGCTCCAGGAGTTTGATCATCAAATGTTTTGAAAATATAATGGCTAGCGTGTTCTTTTACTTCTTGATTAATGCTCCAGCTATAAGTTAGATGAGTTGACCCTTCGCTGTGTTGATATTCACTTTTTCCCTGCAAACACAATCTCAATAATACAGCTGATAGATGCAGGTATTATTATGTCTTTTAAAAAAGCTTATCGTTATTATCAACTCAGGTTTGTTGGGTATTAATTATGGTGTAAAAACTATCAATTAGTTACTGTATTATCTTGAAATAACACTCCTAGATGTTATTTCAAAATAACACAGTATTCATTTCAGCATATACACCAACTTTTTTTTATTTTTAGGTGGATATTAGATTAAGTTAAAGTGGGTATTTTTATTTAAGATTTGAAAATAAATGTTCTTCAAGCAATTTCAATACATAATAAAAGATTGAGAAGAAGTTTCAATTGAGACTATCCATAACTGTTAGCATTATACAAGAATTTTTCCAGATATAGTCAACCCCAAGGTTCATAAATTATCTAATGATGTTTGTAGAACCAACAATTCAAGTCTTAATGAACTTATTAGTGCACTTAATAATACACACTATCTTTTTAATTCGATGAAAGTTGATGAATTATTTACAATAAGTAAGAAGAATCTTGTTTATGGGCTTCTTTTGGATAACCAGATTATTAAAGAGTTTGCTTATATATTCAGAAGAGATGAGAGTGTTGAAATTATAGATGATAAAGACATTGAGGTCATGGATGATGAAATTAATAATAGCATTGAAATTGCAATTGTTAGTGGTAGTTCTGCATTAAGTAATTTAAAAAGTGTTCAAACTTTTTTGCTTCAACAAGAGAGCTCAAACAAGCAATTAAAGTTAGTTAATTCTCTTGAAAAATTTATTAGAGTGAAAATAGTCAAGTCTGCTCAACAAACTTGTATAAATAATTACTTTAAATAAAGAAATCATGCTTTATTTGATTTATATTTGATGTATTATTTAATATTTAAATTTTATTATATTTTTAAATAATTTAAGTAATTAATAAATAAGCACAATACTATTAATCTTGGCTAATTAAAATTTCTATATGTTTATTTTTAATATTTGGATTCAGAATTAACTTTGAGAATAAGTAGGTTTTATATGAGCGAAACTTCTAATTTCATGATAATTTAATATGAGCCAATTATTTATATAATATGGCATGATTATTGAAATATAAGTGATTTTTTGATCAGAATTGTAAGCCTGATAATGAATTGCTTATGAATCACTTATAAATTTTACTTATAAATTTGTATGTACCTAATTGTAACCTGATGCTTATAAATTTTTGTATATATGTACCTAATTGTAATCTAATTGTAACCTAATTACTTATTAATTGGAGATTTTTGTCTATATGTATAGCTATTTCATAATTCCTAGAACACTTTATAAAATTGACCAAATGAGATTCGATTAAGTTTTGTGATTTTGGTATGTATATAAATTACATTGCATATAGATTACATTGTAATTTAATAAATATACAAATTAAACATATTCTAGACATGTTTGATATGTATTTAAATGAAAATTGAACGTGTTGACATTTATTAATGTTAAAATTATCTGAAGAACAAGTATAACATGTAACATATGTCATTCATATACTGTAATTTGTGTGATTTTTATATGTAAGTTTCTGATTTGTAATTTTTGTTATATGCCATTCGGTCTATTTTTATGTATCAAGTGTTTCAGGAATTATGAAAATAGCTATAACAGATAGCTGGTGATAGGTAAGCGATTATGTAAATAAGTATAGTATATGTTTTAAAAAAATAGGACCAAATACGTTATTTATTTTATTAAATCAGACGTCGAATAATTAATTTTAAATTCCTCTACCCACTTGATTGCTTATACTTTTGATTAGATTTATCTTTCAAATTCACTTTTATGTTTTAAATCAATTGCATAAAAAAAAACAAAAAAAAAAAAAAAAGATTAACCAAGTGCTTTTTAATTATTAGCCAAGATTACTATAAACAACACACCAAGATTTATTAATTACTGTTACAAATTGATTTTTTTTAAATTAGCACTACAATTTAATTGGTCGATCAATATTTAAAATTTGTATAATATAAATTTGTAATTTCTTTAAGTATATACTCTCTCAAATTCATAACTAAAGCTAGTCCCAAGGGACATGCATTTATAGAGTTGTGACTATATTTTTAATAAAGATTATAGTAATGAATTACTTTAATTTTAAAATAAAAAATAAAGATAGTTTTGCCAATAATTTATTCATATAATTCTTTAATTTTTTTTTTTTGTGTTAAGGAGACCTCTTTGGCCTGAAAGCTTTTATTAGGATTTGAAACAGTGTTTTATATACAATTACAACAATGGTACATCAAGCCACACATGCACCTTTTGAGTGCCTAATTTAAGTAGTCTGCCCGAAGGTTCTACACTATTTGCCGTACCTGCACCCCAACTAGG